GGACGGATGTGGGCGGAGCCCGCGGTCTGGGCGCTTAAAGGCGCAGAAAGCCGCGCGGCCGGGGCGGGGGGGAGGGGCTGGCATGGAGGCGGGGCCAGGCCGGGGGCGGGGCCTGGGGGGCACGTGCAGCCAGGCTCCCGAGGCCTCAGTCCCTTCAGGTCGCGCTTTGCGTTCTTTGCTCTTTCCGCTAGCGCTTATAGAGCGCCCAGAGGGAGCGTGCAGAAAGAAGAATAAGACAGCCCCTGCCCTCTAGCAGTTTACATTCCACTGTGTGTCCTCTTTGTAGCCTGTAGGGTGGAGGGGATGCTGCTGGGAGGCACCCCGGGGTGGTGGAGTCGTGGGGGGAGGAGATGTCAATCAATCAATAAACACTTATTAAATCGCCTACTTGGGGCAGCTAGCGGCCATAGTGCATAGAACGCCGGTCTGGAGTCAGGAAGACTCATCTCCCTGAGTTCAGATGTGGCCTCAGACACTTCCTAGCTGTGTGACTGAGCAAGTCATTTAACCCTGTTTGCCTCAGTTTCCTCGTGTGTAAAATGAGCTGGAGAAAGAAATGGGAAACCGACTCAAAAAAGGAGGGAAAGCGCCTACTATTTGCCAGGCCCTTTGCTAAGCAATAGGGATGCAAAAAATAGTCCCTGCCCCGGGAGTTTACAATCTAAGGGGGGAGAGAACAGGAAAACAAATATATGCAATATCATATTGTAGACGTTATATAAAAGAAAGAGCAGCTCTCTATAAACACTTCCCAAGCTGCAAAGCATCTTCCAGGCAACAAGCTGGCCAGGACAGGTTCTCCGCGGCTGGCTGTGGTCCGATCTGAGACACTGAGCAAGCCATTTCCACTCCGGCCTCAGTTTCCTCCTCTGTCCAATAAAGAGGTTGGGTTAGCTTGGGTGCCTTCCAGTTCTGACAAATGTGGGCTGCTGTGCAGAGGGGGAAGCTGAGGTCCAAAGCAGATGGGCTTGTCTCGGAGTCAAAGGAAATGGTAGAGGGGAGTCCCTTCAGCAATGCTGGACCTCTTCAAATCACCTATAACTTACAGTCTTGGAAAGATCCCCTGGGGCACTGACAGAGTATGTTATGTGTCCAGGGCCACACAGCCAACCTGTGTCAGAGGCTATTCTTGAACCCTAGTCTTTCTGACTCCAAGGCCAGCCCCCTTTCCACTAAGCCTTCGCTTAAACCTGGAAGGAATAATTTGTTACTGGGCTGGGTAACTCCCTTTGAAGGCAAACTGGCACAAGGAAGGCCAGGGGGTAGCTAGGCAGCACAATGCCAGGCCTGGAGTCAGGAAGACTCAGCATCCTGAGCTCAAATCTGACCTCAGTGCTTACTGGCTAGGTGACCCTGGGCAAGTCACTTGACCCTGTTTTGTCGTTTTTGTCATTCAATTTTTTTTTCAGTCATCTCCAACTCTCTGTGACCCCGCTTGGGGTTTTCTTGGCAGAGATACTAGAGTGGTTTGCCATTTCCTTCCCCAGCTCATTTTACAGATGAGAAAACTGAGTCACAGGAGTTCTTGTTTATACAGCACATTAACATACACTCGATCATTTGATCTTGCTTTGGTTTACTGTCTCTCCCAGCCTGCCCTTCACCCCACCTCCCTTCCCTTGCAAACCAGATTCTAGACTCTGGCCAACTCCTTGAGTCACTAAATAAGACCAAACAAACCGGTTTGGGCAATGATTCTCCTTCCCCTGGTAGGAATGAGCCTTCACCCTGGGCTGTGGCTGTGAAAAGCTGTCTGCCCTTGTCTTGCTGGCATCCCAATCTAAATCACAGTCTTCATTCCGTCATTGTTCTGCCAATCTTTTGCCCACACTCCTTCCCCCCACATACACACACTCTCACCCCCCCTCCACCCCCACATACATTAACAAGGACATCTAGTGTCTGCCTGGGAGGATGGATGATAATACTTACAACAACTCCCATTTTGAGGTTCACAAAGTGCCTTGCCTAACAACAACCCTAAGAGATAGGAAGTGCACAGAAAGCCCCAGGGCTAATGGAAAGCCCAACTGAGCAACTGAACTTAGAGGCTGGAGGTCTGGGTTCTTAGCCCAGCTTGGCTACTTTCTATTTTTTTTGTTTAAGTTTTCAACATTCACTTCCATAAAATTTTGAGTTTTAAATTTTCTCCTCCTCCCATTTCTCTCCCCCCGCAATGGTGTACAATCTGATATAGGCTCTACATATGTTAAGCATATTTTCCCATTAGTCATTATGTAAACAACGAATAGAACTAATGGGAAGAACCACAAGAATGAAGCAATCAAACAAAAAACAAAAGAAAAGCAGAGCAAATAGTGCTTCGATCTGCATTCAGACTCCATAGTTCTTTCTCTGGGTGTGGATACTCATTTCCATCATGGATCTTTTGTAGTTGTCAGCTTCTTGCATTGCTGTGAAGAGCCAAGTCTATCAAAGTCAATCATCCCATAATGTGGCTGTTATACTGAGTACAATGTTCTCCTGGTTTTGTTCATTTCACTCTGCATCAGTTCATGTAAATCTTTCCAAGTTTTTTTTTTTAAATTCTGCCTGCTCATCATTTCTTATGGCACAATACTATTCCATTACATTCATATACCACAACTTGTTCAGCCATTCCCCAACTGATGGGCATTCTCTCAATTTCCAATTCTTTGCCACCACAAAAAAGAACTGCTATAAATATTGTTCTACATTGGGTCCTTTTCCCATTTTTATGATCTCTTTGGGATGGGCTCGGCTACTTCCTAGCTGTGCCTCCTCGGGCGAGTCATTTTTCCTGCTTCTTCTGAGCCTTGTTTTCCTCTTCTATAAAATAGATATTTGTTGGATTAAATTGACCTATTTTGGGATTTGGGGCTTCAACGGGGCCATTTGGGCTACTTATTAGAGGTCACTCGTTAGAAACGAGCAGGTGATCAGATTCTTCTGTTTTCCCCATTCTTTGGAAATACAGATTTTCTAAATGGACTATTTTGTGAGGTCAGCAATCACATCAAAGAAAATGAAAGTCCAGAGTTCTACCCTTCAGATACAAAGATAGAAACTACACAGCCTCTATGACCAAGTAGGACTAAGGAGAGGCAGGGTTCTAAGGATGTGGGGTTGTAGAGACAATTCAGTTCTACAGATAGTAGTGAATGATCTTCAGATAGTCACTTAAGCTTTTGGGGTGTCATTTTCACCCTCTGTAAAATGAGGGAGTTGTATCGATTAGAAATGGCTAAACAAATTGGGGTATAAGAATGTGATGAACTGTTTCTGCACCCTAGAAATGTCTAAGGTAAGAAATTCAGAGAAACATGAGAAGACTTATGAACTGATGCAGAGTGAAGTCCATCCATCAACATTTGTTCGGTGCCTGCCATGTGCCAGGTGCTGTGCTAAGGGCTGGGAATACAAAAAGAGACAAAAGGCAGTCTCTGCCCTCAAGGAGTTTAAAATTCAAAAGGGAAGATGACAAGCAAGTAATATATACAAAGCATGTTATGTACAGGATATATATATATATATATATATATATATATATATATATACATGTACATATAGATACACATACACACAAGATAAATAAGAGATCATTAACAGAGAGAAAGCACTAGAATTAAGAGAGGTTGGAAAGGGCTTCTGATAAAAGACGGTATTTTAGTTTGAATTTAAAGGAAGTCAGTTGAGGAAAGAGAACATTCATGGGAGACAGCAGGAGAAGATGCCCAGAGCTAAGAGATGCAGTGTCCTATTTGTTGAACAGCAAAGAGGTCAGTGTCCCTGGATGGCCCCTGTTGGGATGCAGGATGTAAGGACACTGGTAGGTGGGGGCTAGGTTTCTGGAGGGCTTTAAATGCCACAGCATTTTATATCTGATCCTGGAGGCAACAGAGAACTACTGAAGTTTATTGAGAAGGTAGGTGACATAGTCAGACCTGAGCTTTAGGAGGTGGAATCAAGAAAACATTACTGACAATGACATCAATGTAAATGCAAGTTTTTTTAAATTACTGAATGCTGTGTAATTAGAATGACTAATCTTGTCCCTGAGGCAGCTAGGTGGCACAGTGAATAGAGTACCGGTTTGCAGTCAAGAAGAGCCATTTTCCTGAATTCAAATCTACCATCAGACACTGAGTAGCTGTGTGACCCTGAGCAAATCACTTCATCTTGTTTGCCTCAGTTTCCTCATCTGTAAAATGAGCTGGAGAGGGAAAAGGCAAACCACTGCAGTATCTTTGCCAAGAACATCTCAAATAGGGTCACAAAGAATCGGGCAAGCTGAAAAAGATGGAAGAACAAAAAGCTTGCTCCTTAAAAAAATAGAAAAAAAATACACCTGTCCCTTCTCTGCAGACATGAAGGACTATTGGTATGAAACATGACATATGCTCTACATACTCACGAATACACTTTGCATAAATTGTTTCCCTACAGTGTAAGCGCTCCTTGAGGGCAAGCACTTTTTCTGCACGAGCTCTTAACACGGTGCCTGGACATAGCAGGCACCTAATTAGGCGCTCGATAAAGGACTGAGTTGGAAATCTGGGACCTGAGTTAGACGGGGCTTTCTTGAAGTAGGCGCCTAATAAACGCTCCCGGATTTATTTGAAGGTCGCCTAAAACTAAATGTGTTGCTTACTGCCCCACGTCCTCCGAAAGCCCTCCTCTGGACTGCACAACGACAAGTGTATCCATATGCCGGGAGGCTACTCCCCAGTCCCGTGACAATGCCCCAGGAAGGTCCAGGATGCCAAACAAAAACTCGCTCGCTGCCCACTCCCAGACGCCTTAGCGAGGAACACAATGTATTCTGCCGGGGACTACAATTCCCAGCATGCAAGGCGTGCATCCGAACCCGCCGCCTCGCGATTGGACGCGAGGGCTCCACCGCCCCTCTCTAGCGGGCGCGTATGGCCATTGGCTGCTCTGGGGGCCGGGAGGTGGGCCGGGCGGTGTCACGTGTCCGCGCTCCCGCGGCCGCCGCCTCCTTTCTCTGCCTCCGCTGCGACCGCCATCTTGCTGCCGCCGCGTGTTGCCGTCGGAGGAAGCTCCCGCCTCGGCTCCAGGTAAAGCGGCGGCTGCCGGAGCCTCGGTCCCGGCGCCCCTAGTGCGCGAGCCCTGCAGGGCGCGGCTGCCCAGGTTGCCCAGGCGGAGCGGGGGGAGAGGGGGAGCCCGGCCGTTAGAGGGAGGGGGAGACTGAGGCAGGCCCTCCTCGGGTCCTCTCTGAGCCTCGGGCTCCTTCTCTGCCAAAGGAGGCCTGGGCTTCCGCCGACCCAGAGGACCGGGGGCCTGGGAGGGGGGGTTCTCCTGTTTCTCAGTTTCCTTTTCTGTCAAGTGAGGGCCTAGGATTCCCCGGACTCCGAGGTCCCGGCAGTTTACTTCTGTCAGAGCGGGGATGGGCTTCCTCCGTCCTGGGAGGATCGTCGCTGGGTCTCAGTTGAGAGCCTAGGACCCGTGGCCTTTGAGGGTCCTCCCGGTGACTGAGCTAGGGTCCCGTGGGCTTCTCCCTGGCCTCAGATTCCTCTTCTGTAAAGTTAAGGGCCTGGCCTCTCTGGTCCCTGTCATCCCCTGATAGAGTGAGTTCTCCCAGACCTCGGTTTCCTCTTCTGTAAAGTTAAGGGGCTGGCCTCTCTGGTCCCTCTCATCCTCTGATAGAGTGGGTTCTCCCAGGCCTCAGTTTCCTCTTCTGTAAAGTTAAGGGCCTGGCCTCTCTGGTCCCTGTCATCCTCTGATAGAGTGAGTTCTCCCTGGCCTCAGTTTCCTCTTCTGTAAAGTTAAGGGGCTGGCCTCTCTGGTCCCTCCCAGCCTTCCCCCCGCCCCCTCTGGACCTCAGAGGGCTCTTCGCCCTCGAGAGTGAACGATGCCCAGGGTGGCCGGCTGGGCTGGCATCTTGTCCCTGATGTTTCTTTGAAGGCTGTGGTGCCATCGGGCCATGTTTCCTCCTTTGTAAAATGGACAGGGCTCTCTCTGCCTGCCTGCTGATCCCGACCAGAACCGGGGAAAGAAACTTAGCAGTTGGGTTTATAGGGTAAGAGGCCAAGCTGAAGGTTGGTTCTTAACAGTGTGGCCCAGGGGATAGAGAGTCATGCTCCAGGGGTCGAGTCCTGCATCTGACCCCTTCTGGCCGTGTGGCCCTGGGCAAGTCCCATCACTTCTCAGGGCTCTGGGCAGCTCTCTGAGGCTGTCTGTCAAAGGCAAAGTGCTGGCCTGTCTTGAGAGAAGCTTCACCCTGGAATTCCCGGTCCAGGCCCTAAGACACACACAGGTGGTTACAGGGTTTGATGATAATAATAGCGGCAGCGCCTGTTTGTCTGGGGTTTGCAGGACGCTTACTTCACATAGGGCGTGCAAGGGTGATCACCTTTGCCGGGTGAAGAACAGCAGGCCCGGGGGTGACTCAGCCGAGGACGCACCTTCAGGAGGGAGCAGAACCGAGTCTCTGGACCCCGGTCTTTGTCTCCAGGTTGAGTGCACTTTCCTCCAGGACACTCCACCTCCCACTTGGGGAGTAGTGGGAGGAGACTTTGGGGAAGCCTAGATAGACTCTTTAGAGTCTACAGAGCCGGGGAGAGCTTTGAGATTATCTAGGGCCCCCTTTCTTTCTGTAGGGGAGGAAAGTGGAGCTCGGAGAGGGTCCTGATTCAGATCCCGCAGGTTGTCATTGTCAGGAGTGTGGACAGTTCCTGACTCTCACACGAGACCCGCTGGATTGCCTACCGCACCGCCCTGCCAGTACAGCAAAGGCCTGTTCTTTTGATGGACTCCAGGCAGCCTGCTTGGAGATCTTGTACTGCCTTAAATGATGTACATTTCTTGACTGGGGGGGAAGGGGGGGATTCTTGTTGGGGGTGGATTGGACTACATGACCTCTGCAGGGCTGGGGTGGTGAAGCCTGGCCGCTCTAGGCCTTAGTCCTTGAAGGGCTGGGGCTGGAGGGAGGAGGAAGAGGGCTGATCTGGCCCTGAGGCCTGGGATCTGGGAAGCTGCCAGTGACCTTGGAGAGTTCCCTCCTTCTGGTCCATCCTGCCATGAGTGGGCTGCAGTGGGCTTCTCCTCATAGTAGCCCTCATCAGTGCTGTTAGAGGGGAGACTGCTGTTCAGATAAGGGTCCCAGGTCCCGCACACTTCTGAGATGTTAGGTTTCTGGATGGTCTGGAAGGCCCTTATATTCTCATTCTGACATTCTGAGCGTGGACTCCCACCTTCCAGTCCCTGAGCTTGGGATTCCCATCCTCCTGCCTGGTGTTTTGTTTTGTTTTTGGCTAGGCAGCGGGGTTAAGCGACTTGCCCAGGGTCACACAGCTAGTGAGTGTTACGTGTCTGAGGCCAGATTTGAACTCAGGTCCTCCTGACTCCAGGGCTGTTGCTCTATCCATTGCACCACCTAGCTGCGCCATCTGCCTGGTTCTTGTGTCACCCTGCCTTGCTGGGGTCCAGGGAGCATCTTTCCACACCCCTTCCCATTCCTCTCTACCTTTTTCCTCTCCCCAGATAGCCTTCTTTCCTCCATGTTGCTTCCTTCTTAGGTGGAAAGGTCTCTTCTTTGAAACTCTGTGGGATGGAGTCTTGGGCAGTTGGGTTGGAGAGGTTTTTGTGTCTGTCATAGTCTCTGTTTTCAGCAAACCAGGATTCTTCATTTTATGGCTCTTGTGTGTACCTAGATTAACTCGCGTTTATGTTGCCTTGCATCCCCTTGACAGTCTGGTGAGGTGGGAAAAGGCAAACATTGTTTCCCTGTTTTATAGCTGAAGAAACAGGCACTATCCACCCCCCCCAGATGGTGGAGCCAGCACCCGAGGAAGTGACAGCTTCTGAGGGGAGGGTCAGTGGGCGCTCCTTCCACCAGACAGCCGGCAGTGCCCAAGCCCAACTCAGTTTACGTAGCACCTTTGCCGAGTATTACAGGTGCTGTGCCCCCTCCGTTTCTGTAGAGAAATTTCTCTGGGTAGAAATACTCCCTTCCATTCAGCAAACAGTGGGTAACCTACTACTTACCAGCAGTCTCATGCACGGGTCCTGCCCTCATGGAGCTTGAACTCTAACAGAGATGATCAGACACACACAAATAAGTGTGGTACAGAATAGTGTAGTAAGGACAGAGTGGGAAGGGGTAGTAGAAACAAACTGCCCTGGGAATGAGAGATCACTTGGGGGAGCAGGGAGTATTCATACTAATACTGAAGCCTTTGTGGAGGTGGTGGCACTTGGACCATCAAGGGACAGAGTGATTTTGATGTGGTGGATGTGGGGTGGAAGTGGGAGAGAGGGCAGTAAAATTGGGACTAAGTGGACTGTTCCAGTATGGTGCCCAGAATTCCCTGAGTGGTGTTGACTGAAATAGGGGATAGATGGGGCCAGGCTGTGGAAGGCCTTCAGGCCCAAGCTGAGGCTCTTGTGTGTCCTGTGACTAGGGAGCCATGGTCACCCTTGTGTGTGTCATGGAGGCCTTGGGAAGGGAAGGAGCTGAAGGCCGGGAGACCACCGTGGGGGATGGGGCAGGAGAACCCAGGGCAGTGGCAGGATTGGGCCTCTGGGCCCTCCTTACTTCTCTAGCCAGGTTCCTTCCTCCATAAGCAGTGGGGCCATTTTATTCTGTGCCAGCGTGTTCAGGACTCAGGTTGAGGAATGATAAAATGTAAACTCTCCCTGACTTATGGGCATATGTTTCACCTCGGGCACCAATCAGGACTCACTTTTTTGTGCCCCAGTCATTACCCAGAGAGGGCTTGAGAGTGGGAGCTTGTGTGAATGCACACATGCCTAACATTGCCTCATTTGTTTGGTAACGTGCATATGAGCTCTCTCCTCAGAAGGGTTGTAGTTGTTAAAGGGGGGCTGGAAATCACCAAGAAGCACGTGGCACAGGAGCCCTCACTCCTGCTGGCCTGGGAGTCAGGGAGATCAGGGTTCCATTCTGTTTCCCACACTCAGTGACCCTGTTCATGAAGATCTCAGCCTCACCTTCTTCATCTGTGAAATGGAGATAATAATACCTACCTCACAGAGATGTTTAGAGAGCCAAATGAGATAATGTGTGTAAATATGTAGCAAAATTTAAAGCAGTATATACATTTGAGTTATTATCTAGTCTACCATATTTTAAGGGGAAGAAACCAGCTGAGGGTATGGAAGTGACTTAGCTAAGGTCACACAGGTTAAGACTTCTGGTTGCAAAGCTGGTGTCATTTCCACCTTACCAGGTTGTGGTTGTGAAATGCTTTGAGATCTAGTCGTGAAAGCTTGAAATCAAATGCAAATTAGCATTAATTATGATCCCTCCTTCCCCCTTGTTATTGTAGTATGCCCAGAATCCAGAAGACGAGTGACTTTTAAACAACTGCATTCTGTGCATTTAGGTTAAAGATAGCAATATCTTGGAAACTTAAAAAACATTTTAAAAATTGAGTAGAAATATTCATTTAATAAATATTTTCTTAAATGCCTGGCTTATTCCCACCATCCACCCCCTCCACTCCTACTCACATTCTGCTGAATGGCGCTGAAGCGAATCACCCACTGAGCCCACCAGGGCTGCTACGACAAACAGCGCATCTCTGTCTCCCGCTTGTGCCCTGACTGCCCCCCCAATCTTGAAACGCTGTGCCCTCTCCCCTGCTGGTAGGCAGCTCTTCTGCCAGCTTCCCTGGCCTCCTTCGAGAGTCACCTGCAAGAGGCCTTTTTGGGTCCCCCACCTGGTGATGGCTTTCCTTTCCAGATTAATTTCCATTTACTCTGTGTCTGTATTGCATGGGTCTAGATATTTGCATGTTGCCCCCCCCCGGTTATTATGTGAGTTCCGAGACTGTTTTTTCTTTGTGTCCCCAGCACTTAGCATAGTTCCTGGCACATAGTAAGTGCTTCGTAAATGCCTTTAGACTGACTGTTCTCAATTGGGCCCTCACTGCAGCCCGGCAATGCTTTTACTCATCCCTACTTTATCCTGCTCCCCACTGAGGCTGTTCCTAACCTCCCTTCTCAAGCCTCCTACACCACCACCACTTACCCTCTCACCCCTTTCGGGGCCGGGGGGGGGTGGAGACCAGCTCATTTGTTGTGAGCTGCTGCTTCTCTGCATCTCGCAAACCCCTTGACACCATCCTCTCTTTTTTACTTCAGGCATTGATGAAGAGGGATGCTTCTCGAGGAGCCTTCAGCATGTACCCTTGATTCTGTTTGCTCTCCTAGATTGCCCCCACCCTCATCCCCTTTTTTCTCTCTAATCTTTAGTCTCTTCCTCTCTACTGGGTCCTTCCTTGCTGCCTGTGAACGTATCCAAGTCTCCCCCAGACTTAACATACCATCACCAGGCCCAACGATCCCCTCCAGTTACTCACCTGTATTTGTCTGCCTCTCCTAGCCAAACTCCTAGAAAAAGCTGTCTACACGTGTAGCCTCCACTTATGTATCACTCCTTACCCCGTTGCTGTCTGGCTCTCTGCAAAGCTACCAGGGCCCTCTTGGTTACCAGATATGGAAGTGGTCTTGTCTTCAGGCTTCATGGTTGACAGTTCACAGTTGGCCCCCTTCTCCTCGCAGTGCCCAGCACAGTGATGGGCACACATTTGTAGCTTCCTACGTAGTGACGAGATGACTGGGTACTTTCCCTTGCCTTGGTTTCCTTGGTTCCTTCTTCACTTCCTCTGCTGGTTCTTTGTCCGTGTCATTCCCCGTATGGTGGCATACCCCAAAGCTCTGTCCTGGGGTTTGATACATTTGTGCACGTGTCTCCAAGGTCTTGGGACCCGTCCCTGATCTCTTCTGAGCTCCAGTCCCGTATCACCAACTGGGTGTCCCATTGGCATCTCAGCCTCAACTTGTCCAAAACATTCTGGGCTTTTCCTCTCCAAACCTGCCCCCTTTCCAGATTTCCCTGTTCTTCCGGCAGCGCCCCCATCCTCCCAGGCTCTTTACTCGTTCAGCTGTTGCCAGATCTCATCATTTCTGCCTCTCCATCTTCTCTTTTCTGTGCCCCTGGCCCCTGCTCTGACCCTCATCACCACTCTGGTGGCCTGCTGATTGGTCTAAACTCTCTCCCCACTTCATTCCGTCCTCCAGGTCTGATCACACCTCTTACCATACTCAGTAAAATATAAACTGCTCTGTTTGGCCTTAAACAGACCCAGCCTACCCTTCTGACATTTTGTACACTTCAGCACACTCGGCCAGATCGGCCTCCCCCCCTGTTGTTCACACATGACACGCCATCTCCCAAGGCTGTCTCAGTGCCCAATGTTTAGAATACCCACTCTCCTCATCTCTGCCTTTTAGAATCTCTCAGTTCAGCTCATATGCCTCCTCCTAGCCCCTTTCCAGAGCCCCCCCCTCCTCCACCCCCCCCAGGTGCCAGTGCCGCCCACATCACCTTGTATTTATCTTGTGTTTGCCTAGGTGCAAGCGTTGCCTCTTCCTTGGTAGAACGTAAGCTAGGGAGGGCAGAAACAATTTCATGTTGATCTCTGTGTTCCCAGTGCCTAACACAGTTCCTGGTACCTAGTGTTGATTGTAGGCAGCAGGGCCCCAAAGACAGAGCTAATACTGGTCTCGAATGCTGTGCTGGGGGACTGTGGATGAGTTCGTCCAGGATCGTGTGAGAAAGGAGGAGAGCCCAACAACCGGAGGGGGTTCAGAGATTCGTACCTTTCTGCTGAGGCCGAGGTTGGCTGATTGGCTGCCTTCTCTCTTTGTGCTTTAAAAAGAACAGAAGGCTAGAGAATGGCACCTCCTTTTGTGGTGACAGCCTGTTCCTCCACAGTCTCCAGTGATGTGGAGATTAGGGTCAAGGAAGGTGCTGTGTGGAAAAGTGCTCGGGACGCCAGAAAATGAGGAGCCTGTGGAGGAGGCCTTGAGAGAACTTTGTGGAGGCTTGGGCCTCTCCCTCTCATTGATACTCATTTCATCATCTCATCTGGGACAAAGACTTATTTTGTGGCCACTTTTTTCAACGCTCGGAGATCCGGCTATTCATCATATCTGATCTTGGCCCAGGTGGCTTTTTGTGTTTACATGGATGGCCCTTTGAAAAGGAGTAGGAAATACTTTGAGAGTATGGTCTATTTTTGAGATTTTTCTTTATTAATGAATTCTGTAATAGATAATTGGCTCTGTTAAAAAATCCTTGCCTAAACACCAACACCAACTGGCCGTGAGGATTTATTTCATCATTATTGAAGCCAAAGAAGGGAATAATGTTGTTTCTTTGGAGGTGCCTCAGAATTGGTGACATTGCCAGCATCCTGGGTTTTTTCTGCTTCTAGAAATCCTTTTCAGGATCATTTTAATCTGTGTCCTTACTGTGTACAATGGGCAGGAAATTAGTATCGTGGAAGATCCCTCTATGCCCGCTCCATTCCCTGACTCTTCCCTGTCTCTTAGTAGATGGGCTTTGTGAGTGGCCACAGCCATGGACTTTGTTACTAAGTGGGCAGCTTTCTGGGCTCATCCCTCATGTCTCTCTGAGCTTCGCCAGGCTGGTTTTAAGACCTTAAGCCTCCTCCAAGTCTGAGCAGCTTGGTATAGGAGCTTCTGGAGCTGGCATCCGGTGGGCCTTGCCTCCACTCTGATGGGATGTGGGGCTAGAGGGCACCATCCAGGAGGCTGGACCAGAAGGACTTGGTCACACAGGGATGAGGATGGGGGTGAGAACTCCAGGGGCCTGGGAGCTTGGGGGCAGGGTTCCTATTTTGCCAGAGCTCACTAAGACTTGCCAGAGACTTGAAACCATCTACTTCTTTTCTAGATCTGCCAGCAGCATGAATCAAGAGAAGTTAGCCAAGCTTCAGGCTCAGGTCCGGATAGGAGGCAAGGTGAGTGTGGACTCAGACTCCGTCGTGTTCTTATGCACAGTAGGCTGTAAAGGTTGGAAACCGATGTCACATTCCAGAGAGCAGCAAGTATAAGAAGGGGCCTCAGGGCTCATCTAGCCTGACGCCTTCTTGGCTCATAGGGAAACTGAGGTTCAGAGAGCTGAAGAGGCTTGTCCCTTACTGCAGGTGCTAAGGGCAGAATCAGGATTTGAATCCATGTCCTCTCACTTGAAAACGGGCAGCCTCTGGCTGAGACTCTCTCCTTCTCGTTGCTAAAGGCATAGCCTCTCTTCCTCTGGGCCTGGTTACCCGGGGAAAAGGGACGGTTTTCTTAATATCACTCAATATAATAACATATCTAGAAGTCACCTGTTCAAAACATAGCTGGGAAACTAGAAATAAGCAAATGGATTAAGTAGAAACTCCTCTGTTCGGTGTTTAAAGCTCTTCTCAGATTGTCCCCTTGCTGGTTCTCATCTCCATCTCTGTGCTTTTGCACTGGCTCTCCCTCATGCCTGGCTTGCTCTCCTCACCTCTCCTATTGGGAGTCCCTAGTGTCCTTCAGAGTTCAGCCCAAGCAGGACCTTCTGCGTGAAGCCTTGCCCCCGGGGCTGCTCAAGCTATCCCTGCCCAAACTATCTTGTATTTGTGTACCCTGTCCCCCCATTGGCATGTAATGAGAGTAGGGACTTTTCACTTCTGCCCTTGTAGCCTTAGGCTTAGTACATTGCCTGGCACATAGTAGGCACTTTATGGTAGAATCAGGGACTTTGTGCTGGGAGGATCCTTAGGGATCATTTAGCCAAATACCTTTGTTTTACAGATGAGGAAAATAGGATTCAGAGAAAAGCAGCTTAGTCCAGGTCATACACCTACCAAGTGTCCCAGCCAAGATGAGAATCTGAGGCAAATCCAGATGTGACAGCTCATCAGTCAGTCTGTTGGCCTTAATTAAGTGCCTACCAGGTCCAGGGTCTCAGTGGGTTAAGGCCTGCGGTGACAAGTTACAAGGAGTGAAACAGTCTATCCTATGCTTTAATCGGGGGCCCCTTGCTTAGCCTCAGCAGCCAGGCAGCATTTATTAATTGCTTATCACAGTGGGTTTCAAAGAAAGGCACAAAGACTTTCCTGGCCTTTGTGGAGCTCACCCTGTAAGGGGGGAGGCAGCATGCATGCAACTGTGTCCATATAAGTAGGAGGAAGAGAAAGTCAGAGGGAAGGTGCCCAGGGGCAGGGGGTAGGGGGAGAGGCTCCTACAGAAAGAAGCTGGGCTTGGGTTTGTGTCCTAAAGGACCGTGGGAGTCTGAGGAGAGACAGTGAGGCAGGCCTGGGAGCCTCAGAAATCATGGTTGTCTGATTCCGTATCCCGAAGCAAATGAGGATGTGGAGAGGGAGAAATCGGAAATGGGCCAATTAGAATGGGTGCATACTAACTAATACTAAAGGGATAGGGGGCAGGCGAGAGCCAGGAAGAAGTCAGGAGAGCTGGGGAAGGATGTTGGGCACCTCTGGTTAAAATGCCATAGAGTAATTGATGTTCAATAGTAATCCCAGGTACTCAAGAAGAGATTAATCAGGATTTCTGTCCTCTTTTTGGGAAGGCAGAGACACGTGTAAAATATCTGAGAGATTTCTCTGAAAAGGATGGAAAGGAGTGTGCAAGCTTAAGGCCTGATCCTTTAGGCAGTAAGCATTTATCAAGGGCCTGCTTTGTGCCGGGCCCCAGACAGACAGAAGCCAAGGGTGAACTTGTCCCTGCGCTCAAGCAGCTGCCTCTGGCCTAGGTGACTGCAGCTGCCCTGCCCCTCGGCCGGCCAAGGAATAGCAAGACCGTGAGATTCTCCTGCTCAGTCAACTCAAGTGGCTTCCTGTGCCTTGGTACTCCAGTCTGAACTTCAGAGTCCTTCCCGACCTGGCATTCGCCTCCACGAACATTACTTCCCCCTGCACTGTGGCATCCAGCCAAGCCTTCTCTCCGTTCCTCCCGTGGGACACGTTGGGCCTTTGTGTTGGCCATGCCACCTCACCTCAGGCACCTCCCTCTGCATGAAGCCTTTCCTGATCCCCCCAACTGCCTTATACATGTTTGTGTCTCTCTGTTTTATATATATGCTGAATTTATTTATAGGTGACCTTGTTCCTTGTGAGGAGGGATTATTTCCCTTTCTCATACTTGTATCCCTGGTGCATAGAAGGGCTCACTGAGTGCTTGTTAGTTGATCGATCCTGTCAAAAACGATTATGTGAAGATAGCCAGTGCAGTTTCTGGGGTGGGGGGTGTTTTTCAGTCTGCTCTCCTGACCGTTGGCTTGTCCATCCTGTTTTTCTAAGGGCCTTTCCAACGCGGTGTGTTCTAATGTTCTGTGATGTGACTTTCTTTAAGGTTCCTTCCATATCTAACAACTAAGGAATACTCCTTGTAATATTATAATAACAAAAGACAATCTGTAGTGGATTTATAATGGAAATATACATGATGTGGTGCGGATGACACATAGAGATGCTATGGGAAGGAGCCAGGGTCCCCCCTCAAACTGGAGAGCTGGTTGTTAAATTTTCAGTGCGACTGTGTACCCCTCAGAGATCACCAGAGGCCACAAATCAGGGCTTGATTTATTGTTTTGTTGATTTCTAGACTTAAGAAAGTGATGGAGAAAATGTTAATAATACTGTCATATTAAACTGAAAAGCGTGTTGCTGGGTGTTAAACATTTACCAGCACATCGCTGACTGGGAGCCCTTGAAAGGCAGGAAGATAATATGCACAGCCGTTTTTATAGTGCCTTAATAGTGTACTGGGCCTAGAGTCAGGCACACTCTTCTTCCTGAGGTTAGATTTGAACTCAGAGCCTCTTAACAACTTTCTGAGGCCCTACTACAGTAATTTTTCTGTGCTTTAATGATGCCAGGCATGTGAGGGGCTGCCGCCTGTAAAGAGAGGTCCCAGCTTATTAACACGGAGAGACCTAAAGAGGCCTGCTGGTGGTCAAGCCCCTGCCTTTTTAGCAAAAAGAACTTCCCTGCACCTGTCTGCAGTGATCTGCAGGGGAATTCTGCCTTTGGTCTCGAGGTGCAGAGAGGCTTTGCTCCAGGGGGCTCTGGGCTTTGGCTGCTCTTAGCTGGATCTGAGTTACATCATTGGTTGTCACCTGTTGTATGTTTAGGTCACTAAACATACATCACTGTTACAGTAGGGACCTGGAAATCTGTGGTTGCAGCTCAGTCTGTAAGTTGGGAGCTGTCTGATTCGGATTCCCTTGATGATATGACCCAGTAAAATGTAGGCTTTTCATTTGTTACTTATTGGTACTCCAGTTTATTTTATGTCGGCCTTTAATGATGGCACTAATGTATGACTTCTAAGGTATACTATACTAGCCCCTAAACCCTAAAATTCTATGGTATTTTTAAGAAAGGTTTTACGTGTAGTGTAAGTATGTAGGTGCTTATGGAACAGGAATTTAGGGGAAAGAATACACTTGAAGTAAGTGGGGAGCACTCTAGGAAGTGGGGACCCGTCTTCATGCCTTGGAAGGGTGGCAATCTCTACTGCTGGAGGAACCACTTACCTCGGTGGTTCAGAGAGCCATTTGAGTAATGACCTTTGAGTCATCTGGCTTCTAGCACTAGCTTATCTAGTTTAAGATAGCACTGGAATGGGAGCAGATGTTGCTTATAATGATTTCAAATTATTGAGTTAACCAAGAGGCACAGATGCTTTTGAAACAGATTAGACAGTTGAGTTCATGACTGAACTCTTGAAAACAGATCCCATCTGTTTGTTGTCCAAAGCTTCCTGACCACCTTCACTGATCATGAGAGTCACCAGCTTCCTTCGTGGGATTCAGTGAGATGATGTGAGTGTGGGAGTCTGGGACTCTGCTGACTCAGGCTTTTCCCATTGTCTGCCTTTTGTAGGGCACAGCTCGCAGAAAGAAGAAGGTGGTGCATAGGACAGCCACAGCAGATGACAAGAAACTTCAGAGTTCTCTCAAAAAATTGGCTGTGAATAATATTGCTGGTATTGAAGAGGTAAGGTCACTAGACTACAATGTGAAAAGGTTGTTTTGACTTTTCAGATGGAAAAAAAAATCAGCCCAAAGTCCTTGGTCTTTTCCAAGGACTTGGAACTGCTGGGTGTGGAGTCATTTTTCATATAACTAACATTGGTGTGGTTACATATGGTCACAACAGACTTTGCTGAAGGTTGGCCTCACGTGTGAATTTAATTGTACTGTGCTAAGACTCTTAAACTAGCATTGGTGGAATTGACGCAATTGTAGATAATTCGTGCACTTCATAAAAATATTAAGGCATGGATAAAGACAGTGGAAGATTTTCCCAAATAACAAATTATCACCTTTTCCTTTCCCTCAAGAAGCTATTTCTAGACCTTCTTGAAGAGAAGAGGCTTCTCAGCTTGACTTAATAGCGGGCAAGGTTTTCTTGAGCCCCTTCACAAGGCCCTGAAACGAACGCGCTTGCTCGAATGCATGCACACGTACACCATGCCACGCTGAGAGTCCTTATTCATAGACTCAGTTGACCAGCTTTTCGGCTTTAAAGCATAGACTTGATTTGCTTCTCTGCACATTTTCTAGAATCTAGAGTCACTGATATTCTTTGCTACTTGAAAGCAGATGTCCCCACGTGGGGTCTGCCTTAATCTGCCTGTCCTTGCCACATCATGTTCTCTCAGGCCCTGGAGAAAGTGACCTGCCTTTAACTTGGTGGAATGCTGCCCCAGCCGCTTCTTTGAGGCCCTGCGGAGCATCGTGGCCACAGTGACGATCTCCCTAAGCAAGGCCCACTGGGCCCGTCTGGCCTGAGGGTGCATGTGCAGCTGCCGCCTGGGGAGCCCCCAGCAGTCACACTTGTTCTTCATGTTCGGAATTGGTTCCAATGGGAGCCACAGGTGACTGGCCATTAAGGGACAGAGCATTGCTTTAGTTTTTGCCAGGGTTAGAGAAGCTGGCAGAAACTTGGGAATGGAAGAAACCTTCAGTTTGGTGTGAAACAAAGAGTGTTAGTGTGTTTTCTAGACCCTGCTCTGTCAAGTAGATGGAGAAAACCCTTGGGAGGGGGTGCAGGAAAGAGCCACTTGTGCCTACAGCCATTGGCATCCTCTGAGGCATCCCTCTTGCCCTCCCCTGGCCCATGTTCCTAGCCTGTGGTTGCTTACATTTTCCTGTTGGAGGGGTTGAGAAAAAAGCCCCCCCAACGCTCGCAGGAGCAGTGTTTACCATCTGCCTTTTATATCTTTATAACTTTTGGCAAACGGAGGGTTGTCCTGGTAGCACGGGAAGGAAGGGAGCAAACATTTACAAAGCGGGTGGGACCTACTCCACGCAAATGACACTTTGCTGAGCACTTTACAACTATGATCTCATTTGATTGTCACAACGACCCTGTGAGTCAGTTACTGTTACCATCTTCAGTTTTACACTTGAGGAAAGTGAGGCACACAGGTGATATGACTTGGCCAGGGTCACACTGCTAGTTCGTTTCTGAGTTAGGATTTGAACTCAGGTCTTCTGGACTCCAGGTGCATCTCTTTCCAGTGAACCACCCAGCAGGTACTACAGTTGGATACAAACTTCTTTCCCTGGACTGGGTTAGAGTAATTGCAGATACACACCAGGCTGAATTTGGAGGGGTTGGAAGAAGGCAGCGAGGCAGAGTGTGTTGGGGGCCTCGGGCCCAGGTTCCAGTGGCTGTGCTCACAGACTCCCAGGCTGCGTTCCCAGACCAAGCCCACCCAGGTGATGGGGATTTTCCAGGAGGTTTTCCCAGGGCCTGCTAGTCAGTAATGGCCATCCCCTTCTGGACTCGGCAAATGCTCTGGGGCCAGTCTCTCTCATGCACATATCCTTTGTTCAGGTGTGTTTTCATAATCTAGCTTGTTCTCTCTTCTGCCTGCAAACCGCACGGTTCACAGGTCCGTGGCCATCTTGGCTTATCTTATTTGCATCATCCCCCTAGTACCTAGCCCTGTGCTCTGCACACAGTAAGTTCTGAGCGGTTGTTTGTTGGGTTAAAACTCACTTACTTGGAACTTGGAGTACATTTCCCTATAGAAACAGTATATAAATCAATGGAAATTTCTAGGCCAACCTAAATTCCAGTTTAGCCCACAATAGGCCATAAGTGTCCTTCTGGAAGGCCTTCTGCAGAAGATGATGCCTTCTGGCTGGCCTTGCCACCGTTGGAAGGGAACCTGGACCCGACTGCTCCCAAGCCAGCCTAGCTGAGCTCATCACCATGGCTGGCCTCAGGGTGGAGGACTTTTCAGCTGACTCCATCCAAGACCATATGCTAAGCTGTGGAGGGTTTGTGTGATCATCCTTGTGGGAGGGCTGGCACTTCTGCCTTGAAGTGCTTCAAGGGATTACTGAAGTTAAAGAGTACTTGGCGTACTGTGCTGCTAGTGCTCTGTGGTCTTCTGATGCTACACCCATTTTTACCCATGGAAAAAATTACTCATAGTTGCAGCTCAGCCATGCCAGCACCACCTACTCCCCATTGAAGCCCCCTTCCCATATCCTGGTGAACTACGTAAATGCCTGATAAGGGGCCCCCATGGCCTGGGCCAGAGCTTTCCTTCATCTCTGAGCGGGGGCTAAACGAGTGACGTTCTCCCTCTCCCAAGCCCTTTACCACAAACGCTGGCCACGGGCAAGATGAGAAATGGGAGGCGGGGATAACCCGAGAGGAAGGGGGATCCCAAGCAGTGAGGCTTCCAGCTAGCTTCTGTTAGTTACAGATTATGAACTCAGAGATAGAAAAAGGATTTGGTCGTGTGCAAACAGTGCATAGTTGGCATCCTAAAGTGAGACATTAGTGCTTGCGGGCGCAGATTCAGATTGAGCATGGCACTGTGGACACATTTGGTCTGGTCGCCTCATTCTACAGAAAGGACAATTGTAGTAAGGAAAACTCTGAAAAATGTCATGGGAGAAGGGGGGCAGGGGGGGAATTCTTCCTCCAGCAGCCAGTAGGCAGCAGATCAGGAACCCTGTCTGCCTGAGCCCACTCGTCCACCTGCAGAGATGGGGATCTCCTGATCAAGTCATCGCATGTGATTTAGGTTAATTAACGTGTTTGCCATTGGGATCACATAAATTGTTAATTTATGAACGTGTGTTCCTTCTGGCTGCTTGGCATCAGGGAGATGTTATATTAGGATATGGGGAGAGGACATGGGGGAAGCTTGTCTTTAAGGAAGAGAACTTAGAACAGAATGTGTATCCTTTTGACATTTCTATGCTGAACCACGAAGAGTTCTAGCTTTGGGGGTCCAGAAGACCTGGATTCAAATCCTGCCCCAGATACTTGGTAGCTGTGTGACCTTGGGCAGGTCATTTAATTTCTGCTTCCATTTTCTCATCTGTAGAATGAGAGTATTGGACTTGATGACCATTAAGGGTCCTTCCAGCTCTAAACTGTTGATTGGCATTGTTTTGGGTGTGGGAAGGGGCTTCACTGGGGAGTAAGTGGTGCCGGGACAGCAGAGCTGCAATTATGAGTGATTTGTGGCAGATGCCACGAAGTTTGGAGGAAAAGCTAGTAAGCATCCAATAGAATTGTAGGCTTTGGAGATCCTCTCTCAGCCTCGTTTAACATCTAAAATGAAGGGGTTCAAGGAGATGTGCCCTCCCACTCAGTTGATGGGATCATATGATCTTAGAGGAATGAAGGGGCCTGACCATGGCAATCATGATAAAGACTTGGTGGATTTAGTGAACCGCCAGGTCATTCATCGGCTCTGGGTTTTTTTTGGGGGGGGGAGCACACAGTATGTCCACAGTGAAGGACATGAAAGGATGGCTCTGCTCTGCCCTCCTCTAGTCAGTCAGTGAGCTTTTATTAAGAACCTCCTGTGTGCCAATCACTGGGCCAGGCACTAGGGGTACAAAGACCAAAATTAATTAAATCATCCAAAGACTTCCTTGATGTACTTCATTATATGGACACATAAAAGGGTGTACCAAATGAGACTAAGGTTGTATTTTGGGGAGAGGCAGCAGAAAAGGGAATCAGGAAAGTCTTCTTATAAAACCTCGCACATAGATGGGGTTTGAAAGAAACCAGAAGATGTAAGGTGGGGAGGGAGGGGTGGTGGCTCTGGGTGGTAAGAAGGGGCTGGAGAACAGATATGGAGATAGAAGTTGCCGTCTTTGTTGGCTGGTTGGACACCTGGATCAGAGGAGCCCGTGTTTGGGGTCTTGGGTGTACTCAATGGGATTTGGCTTGGGAGGAGTGCCAGTGATTCTGTTTGAGAGGCCCACTGGGCAGCTGATGAAGCATTTATGCAGAAACAGGGCCAGGACTGGCGGTAAGCCTGCAACTTTCCTGCTCTCGTTGGAGGTTCACCGGCCTTCTCCACCATGTGGTGATCCCCCTCTGAAGTATGGGAAGAGTTGCAGCTTTAGGAGTCTGCAGCCCACATGCTATTGGGATGGTTACTTTTAGAAAAGGTGGTGAGACGCTTGTGAACCTTCTGTATACCTTGTGTTCAAACAGGTGAACATGATTAAAGATGATGGGACGGTTATTCATTTCAACAACCCCAAAGTCCAGGCTTCCCTCTCCGCCAACACCTTTGCAATCACTGGCCATGCAGAAGCAAAGCCAATCACAGAAATGCTTCCTGGGATATTAAGCCAACTTGGAGCTGACAGCTTAACAAGTCTTAGGAAGTTAGCTGAACAGTTCCCCAGGCAAGGTAGGTGTTTGAATTCAGTGCCTTCTGCCTCTTCACCAGCACTGCCATGTGTACCCCACAGCCCCCAGATAAAGGAATTTTACTTTGTGCTTTTATGGGAAACAAGCTGTGTTAGTTAGGAAGGATCTGTTTATGATATGGCGTGCACAGAGCAGAGGGATTTTATTGACTGAGAGTAACACTGTCAGAGAGCGAGTAGAGGTCAAGTAAAAGCTGTGGAGGGCTGGTCTTTGGGTCTGTTCTGGCCCTTGGGTTCTGGGACTCGGTGTTCTCCATGTGAGCTTTTCCTCTAGGCCCTTGTTGGTGGGACTGTGGGGGGAAGTCCTTGTTTTCTAACTTTATCTGGTTGATTGGATTTGGGGGTAAACTTGAAACCTGGCTGACTTGGCTCTGCCATGAAGCTGTTGCCAGTGCTAAAGTCATCGACCTAGAGCTGGCAGTGACCTCTGAAGTTTATGTGGTCCAGTTCTGTTATTTGACAGATGAGGACACAAGAAGCAGTATTTGAACTGACCTGTGTCTGACTTAGGGTGAAAGCTCTCTTGATGTTGTTGGGCCCCAAATCTGCAGTGATCAGATGGACAGTATTGGCTTTGCCTGTTCAGATTCCTGTAAAGTTTCAGATTCATTTGGCCAAGGAGGATGGGACTGTGGAAGAGTGAGTTTTAGGTTTTTGTAAACCCTTATACTTGGTGGTTTCAGTGTTGTGAAACTTCTTTTCAGTGTTGGATAGCAAAACACCCAAGCCTGAAGACATTGATGAAGAGGATGACGATGTGCCAGGTGGGTCTAAAGACTGCTCTTATTTCTTTGGCTTCCTGCTGACTGGACTGGGTACTGCTGAGGGTCGGCCTCCCCAAGGCTTCCTCTGCTCCTTCTGCGCACTGTGGGTGCGATGCTTCCCCTGGGGCCAGCTCAGGAGAGGCCTGCCAAACCCAGTAATGGATGGATTGGTTGTCTGTCCTCAAAGGCCTAACATGGTGAAGGTTGGAGCTGTCTACCAACTGATAAGATTTCAGCCCCGCTAATTCACAAAGGCATTAGAGTAGTTGTCAGTCTGTCCACAGGAGAAGTATCCTTCCACACTAATAGAACCCAGCCATTGAGGTTCAGTAGGAAAAATGAAGTTTTCTTTGATGTTTTGTCCTAGAAAACTTCATTCAAACAAATATCCAAACACACACAGCCCCAAATTTCATATACAGAACCTCAAGCCAGAGATGGCCTTTTGAAGCTACACTGGCTGCCTACATTGGCTGTAACAATAGCTGGCCATTCTTGCAGGGAACCACACCTCCTGTAGAAACAGGGAAGTTGGACTGGTTGGTGTCTACAGCCCACCTTCCCTGCCCCCCTCCCAGAGTAGGGTCAGGGTCAGGCAGGGAGGGCTGGGTGTCTGGTGAGAGGCCCAGAGAAGAAACTTCAAGCCATTGACAATTCATTTCCTCTGCTTTTCTTCAGATCTCGTAGAAAATTTTGACGAAGCATCAAAGAATGAAGCAAACTAGAGTCTGATGATTCTCAGTGGCCGGCATGGACTAGGTTGGAGAAAGGAGCGGGTGGCTCCAGAGCTGTACAGCGGCAGAGAACATCGCCTGTTAATAGTTCAGTAATATAAATATTTTGTATATTAATGATGCTGTTTGTTCAGCATTTTTCTGTCAGTTGATTTTGCATTTTGCACTTCTCCCAGGATCTACTCTTTTGGTCAAAATACGAAGTATTGGTGCAGCTTTGAGGGTTTTTGTGTGTTCGCGAGTGTGTTGTCTGTGGGTGTACGAGCGTGTGAGTGTGTGTGTACAGTGAGTGGAGAGCAAATTGGATAATAGTTCTATTGATCCTCCCCCAGCCCCTAGTAGAAAATAAAACAAATCTTTAAGTCTCTTCCTTTTTATCTTTGCCCAGTAGTGCACAGAAGTAGTGAAAAGTGAGTGTCTTGTCTAGACTTCAAAGACTCAAGACGTGGGAACGTTCAAGACTGGGTTTCAGTTTGCTGTGTTAACTATTGTATTTGCAAAGACTTTTCTGTGTTTAAAATGCCTTTCTGCGGGCTGGGGGACACCTTAGGTCTTGCAGCCTTTGACTCCACAGTTAGGCTTAGAAGAGTTTCTCTTTCCCTTCCTTTCTTCCTAGATGTTTCCTTGCCCCCTTTTGTCTTAGAATGGTTTGGTCAGCCTTGTTAGTGTTCCTTGTCACCTCATTTAGACCGAGGAGGATGTTCTCCAGTTTAGGGTTTTGTGAACAGCTAGACCCCTCTCCTTGTAAAGCCTGGTTTGTCTTGTCCTGGGAACAGCAGGCCCGCTCTTGACCTTCCGTTTGCCATGGATTGTGGCAGGCACTGGATTGAAATTCAGGGGAGCTGGGAGGGGCTGGCATGCCTTTGCCAAGAGACTTGACATCCCAACAGTCCTCACTGTTCTGAAGGACAAAGACAGCTCTCTTCCCAGCAAGTTTGGAACTGGCAGCCTTCTCTTGAATTGGAATCAACCACTGGGATGTCTGTGGGATGATGATGCTGGCTCGGAAAGGGTTTCTTTGACCTGCTTCCCTACTCTTGGCCTTGAAACCTACTTCTGGGTTGGATGGCCCTGTTGTTGTAGCTCGTGGCACCTGCCAACACGTGAGCATAGAATAGAGCAGCGTTTAGTGGGCTCGCTGGCCCCAGGCAGCATGCCTGGACCTCCTCCTTCCGAAGGCTCAGGGGTGCTCCTTTACCAGAATTGCCCTCAAGGCCTCGGAGGAAAGCCTGGCATCGTGACCAATCTGAGCTTCGTTGGAGCAGGCTGAGGGGGTGACTGAGCGTCTGCTAAGGCCTCTCTGACCATCATCCAAACCGTCCGTGGCTTCCCTTCGTGGCGTAACGACTCTGAACCTGCATAGCTTTGGAGACCAAGAATACACCAGAGGTCTGTAGACGACACCGGCGGAGAGAGAGAAAGCAAGAGAGCTCTTGTGGTCTGTCGTCCAAATTCCTCCGTGGGTTTTATAGACTTGTTCATTTTCCTGTTATGTTTTATATAATATATGGACTTAACTATAAAATAAAATAACCATGCAAAAGAAGGGCCTCCATCTTGTGTGTCTGTGGCATTGGCTTCAGGGTGCTGCCTCCCTCCTGCTTCTGCCCACCTCATTCTTTTTCCCTTTGTCGTCGTCATCATCATAAGCCTTTTATGTGGGGCTTTAAGGTTTGTTGAGGGCTTAACACATAGGATCTCATTTTATCCTCCACAATCCTGGGAGAAAGATGCCTTTATTATACCCATTTTATAAATGAGCCTGAGGCAGACAGAGACAGTGACTTGCCCAGGGTCACGCAGCTCACAAAGGCTCTGAGGCTGGATTTGAATTCAGGTCCTCCTGATTCCAGGCCCAGCCCTCTGTCCATTGTGCCACCTAACTGTCTACAGAAATGGCCTCTCAGTGGCACTTTACAGCTATATCCTCTCACTTCAGGCCTACTCCCCTGCCTCGTTTAAGGGGTGTCACCATTTTCCGTTTGTTTCCTGCTTGATGCTGTGGGAGGTTGTGTCCCTGCCTCTGCTGCCCGGAGTGGGGGAGTAGAGCTTGCAGCCCTTTTGTGGAATGACACAAATTTTGTGGGGTTGGTGCCAGGGTCCTCGTGGGATTGACCACGTGGGAGACTGACTGCCCCAGTTCCTGGTTACCGAACAAGTAGGTGTAGGTTTCCTTATTCTCAGCCCTGTTCGTTTCTCTTGGCTGGTCCTGAATAGCTGTTGTGCCCCTCAGCATTCATTGGTCTGTGTTTGGGAGTCCCTAAACAAGGGGATGGAGTCTCCCCTGACATTCACATGATCTTTTTTCCTCCTGTAAGTTACAATTTTAAAACAGCTACTGACTACCTTGCTTTGTTGCTGAATAACTAGAATTTGTAGGGATGCCTTTTTTTTTAAATGTGTTTCACATTTTTGAGGCTCTTTGCACATGAGCTGCCGTATCTTGCTGCCATCAGGCAAGAAGACCCACATTTGAGGTTTAGATTTGGGAAATGAGGATGTGGCCAGATGTTGATTTTAGTGTCTTTATACTTTATTATGTAACCAAGTATAACCAAGTTTTTATCTTCTACCCAGAACTCTTAGCTCTCTCTGAGGTACAGTTTACTAAGAGATGAGGTAGCTAAGTCACCTAAATGCCAGGAAGGGCAGGTTGAATTGAAATCTGTCACTGACTTGCTAGAAACTCCTCAGTGAGAAGTGGAAACCTGCATCCCTTATCCCAGGGATCCTGGGTACTGCAGTGCTCACCTCCCCAGGGAGACCTAGAGGGCCCCTCCTGGGGCAGGCCCAGATAGCAGAGGGGCCATGTGCAGTGACCTTAGGTATGGTGCTTCTGTGGCACAGAACGTTGAAATTACAACCCTTCCATCATCCAGGCGGTCGCAGGCACCTTGGTGCCGACCCTCTCACACTGTTCACCTTGCCGTGAGGGTGATTTAGAAAGTAAATTTACATGGTATTCATTGTCCTGTTTCTACAGCTCATTACCACTTTGCTAACGAGATTAAAATATTTGCTTTCCAAGTAAAGTGGATGTTCCTTGGCCGTGGAATTACAATGTGTGCTGACCTGTTGTGCTTTAAAATATGCATTAAATAAGTACTTGGCATATATTTTGTCATTCGAGGCCCATGACGACTCTGAGAAGTACTATTTCTGTTTTCAGATGAGGAAACTGAGGCTCAGAGCTGTAATAACTTCCCAGTGTTGACACAGCTAGTGAATGTCAAGGGCAGTGGTTAAATTCAGGATTCCCTGATTTTTCCTGTAGTAAAGTTCAACCTCAGCTACACTATCTCAGGTGAGGAGGAGCTCACTACCTGATGGCTTTAGCAGCCCATTCTGTCTGAGGATGCCTCTGACTCCTTATTGGAGCCTGTCTTGGTCACTTAGTAACCACTAGCCCTCACTTTTCTCCTACTTTGGCCTCTGGAGCATTAGAAGTATTGTGATAGGAGTCCTTCAGAGGCTTAGCCATACTTCTCGTGCCCCCGTCAGTCTGCTTCACTGTAAACGTCCTAATTCCCTTGGCCAGTCTTATGGCTTGGTAGCCATCTCCCTCCATTCTTGGCTGTCCAGCTGCACTGCAGTGGGTCAGTGTGCTTCCCAGCATGTTACCACGGACACAGCTGTACTGTGGGTACCAGGCTGGTACCCTGGCTCTTTCTGAACAACCTGTGAATCACCTCCATCATGAGTAAACAAGTTAGTGTCCAGGTAGAGATCTAGTAGTGAAATTATTACTGTGGGATCGAGCCAGCTTTCTTGAAAAGTGCCATAAATTGGGGTACGCCAGGGGGAAGTGCCCTCAAGGTGGGCAGAGAAGAATGCTTTTCTTGGAAAAGAGCAATACTCAGCTAATAAAAGAATGCCAAAAACCCAGGCTTGTGTCCCAGCTCGAGGCATTTACTAGCTGTGGGACCTAGGACAAGTCAGTCAGCCCCAGTTTCCTCAAAATGAAGGAGCTGGAGTAGGTAATTGGTCTTTGAAGGGCCCTGCCAACTTTAAAATCCCATGTTTTGATGAAAGTAAGTCTTGAAGGGTTGTGGGGAGGCTTCAGAGGGACCTTCATAATTCAGCAATGGCGTGCCAAGCAGCTATTGTGTGTCCACCAATTATGCCAAGTAGGTGTTGACATGAGATAAGATGGAGGACCCTGTCATCAGGGGAGCCTCTGGTCTAGCAGGGAGCCATGAGATGTGTCTACAATAAGAGATAAATGCTAAGTGAGGTGGGACTCAAAGTGTCACTAACCAGAGGGGCATGGAAGGCGTCTTGGAAAAACTGCGAAAGGGTCAGTTGGCAAGTATTTATTAAGCACCCTCTTTGTGCTAAGCACAGGATGTGAAAATGGACTGAAAACCCTACAAGCTCCCATTTACTAGGGAGATATATATAAGTAGCTAGCATTTCTATATAACTTTAAGGTTTGCAAAGCACTTTTCATGTGTTATCTGCCCTGTGAGGTAGATGCAATTATTGTCCCCATGTTACAGATGAGAAAACTGAGTTAGAGGTTAGAGTGATTTGTCCAAGATCACAGTGTCTAAGGCAAGATTTGAACTCGGGTCTTGGTGACTCCCAAATCCATCCTTTTATGCACTGTACGACCCAGCTGCCATAATAAAGGGAATAAATAAAACCGGTTAAATGCAAGGGATTTAGGGGTGCAGAGGGTGCTAGGATGCTTCAGCTGCATCGTTGAGGAAGAGGAATTCTGTGAAGGAAGGGAGCGCTCGTCAGGTATAAGAGATGGCCAGTGCAAAGGTAGACCAGAGATAGACTCGAAAGGAGCTATGTTGTAAGGAACTTTGGGCTGTGTCACAGAGCGCAGATGGGATTGTAATGTCCAGTGAGGCTGTGAAGAGGTTGGGGCCAGGTTGCAAAGGGCTTTACAAATTAAACAGAAGAGTTTGTATTTTAGCCTAGAGGCTATAGGAAATCTGGAGTTGAGTGACTAGGGAAGTCACATGGGCAGACCTGCCTTTAAGGAAAATTACTTTGGCAGCCAGGTATAGGATGGACGGGAGTGGGGAAAATGAGGCAGGGAGGCCAATGGGGAGGCTGGTGTGATAATCAGGTGTGAGGTGATGAGGGTCTGTACGGGGGGTGGGGGTAACAAAGGAGGCATTAGATTTAAGAGATGGCCTGGGCTTGGGGTGACATCATTTGCTAACAGAAAGACCAAGGAAGACCAAAAATTTTGAACATTGACTGGGTAAATGATGCAAACAGCTGTCAAGAGAGGCAGGTTTTGGGAGCCTTCCCAGGGTTTGTTTTTTTTAATAAATTTTTATTGATACCTGTTGTTTCTACATTGTCTAGACTTTCCCTAGTGCCCCCCTCCCCTTCCCAGAGACATCCTTTAAAACAAAGAATCTTTTTTTCAAAAAAAAAGGAAAAATAAAATTTAACAATAATCAACCAATATACTGAAAAAAAAAATCCGACAATATAGTCAATGTTCCCCTGGGAACTCCATCCCAACCTTCTCAGCGAGTAAGGGCAGGTGTCTTCGAGTAAGGACAGGTGTCTTCTCCCATCTCTTCTTTGGGGCTGAGCTGATTCTTTGCCAATTTTACGACATTCCATTATTTTGTGGCTGTTTCCACTTTGATTGTATGCTATTTTCATGGCTCTATTTAATTAAGTCACTTTGCATCTGTTCCTGCGAAGGCATCAGGTTTATCGTTTCTTATACAGCAATAATTCTCCATTCCATTCACATGCCACAATTCACTTAGTCATTCCCTGGTCAATAGGCATCAGCTTTGTTTCCAAGTCTGTGCTGCCACAGAAAGTGCTGCTATTAAATACTTTGGTGCACATGGGACCCTTCTTTTGTTAATCACCTCCTTTCCCGCTGGAAGATTCTCAAGCAAGTTACTGCATTTGAAAAGAAATGAGACAAAATGTTTGGAGTGGAAGACAGGATCTGTAATGACAAAGTTAACTGTTGGCCCTTGTGCTCAGCTCCTTATGGGAGGCAGAGGCAAAGAAGATGTCGCCTCTACCCTCAAAGTGCTTGCAGTTTACTTAGGGAAGGTAACAATCAGCGTGACCAGTCGTTTCCCACCAGCTTGCATTCCTTGAACTGGATTCCACCTTATGGACTTTTTGCTCCCAGCCTCCCACACCCCTATTCATTATCCTTTTCTGTATTGTCTTCCCCTGTTAGACTGTAAGCTCCTTGAGGGCAGGGATTGTCTTTTTTTCCCTTATTTTTTATCCCCAGCCCTTTGCAGTGTCTGGCATATAGTAGACATTTAATAAATGTTCATTTGTTGGCTAAATGATCCAAACACCAAGGGGTTGAACGACATTTAGATCCAGTTGTGCTTGCAGAATAAATCCTATGAAGCGTATGTAAATATAGTGAACGTTTTCCCAAGGGTTCAGCTCCATTTCCCTGCTGTCCCTGTAGGACCTTCCACAAGCGGGGAAATAGGCTATTGGATTTGAAGACGTGGGTTCAAATCCGGCCTCTGCTTCTTTAAAGAATTTCTGGATGTTTTTGCCAGAAAAACTAAAGAGATCCAGGTG